GTTCGGGTAGTAATATTTTGGGAATAGACTTGCCTTGTAACACGATAAGCGCCTTCATAACCGCGATTAGATTTTGTATCGTGACATTCATAAATAACAGCCTTCTAAAATGGCTATTTGGTGCCATTCAAATACTTGGGCCTCATCAGATTCGAGACAGACCCAATGGATTTCAAACTCACAACCCAAATACTATTAGTGAGTTATATGGACTCAAATATCAAGTGATATTATTAGCCCCAATTTGAAATTGCGCGAGTCTGCTTCGGCGCGTTCACACCACTCTCCGTCGGCGGCGAACTTCAATCTCTCCCTCTTTCTCCGGCAAATCCAGTGGGTAAGTTCCTTCTTTGGCTATTGTTCTATTCATTTTCCTCTCACGAGGCAAAAACCGTAATCCTCTGTTTTCATGTAGTCAATCCTAACTATTTAGAATTAAGGCATAGTTAATTGATAATCCGAAGTTGTGAGGTGTACTAATCTGCTTTTATTAGTAGTAATAAATTTTCTGAAAATTTCTATGGTTCTTCAGTGACATGGACATGAGCTCTTTTTTTGTGCCTATTCGATAATGGTTCAATGTTGTACCAGTTTGCTTTTGAGCTTTTTTTTAATTACTAGTAATTTACCTTTTATTAGTTTTTAGTGAAGTCCTATAATGTTTGTATGAAGAAGGATTGGCAAAGAAACTTACTCCTAAATTTCAAATCACGTACCAAATCCTTCCAATTATTAGAACAACCAATCTGAATTAATGGTCCCAGCTATTTGAATATCAACAACAACAACAACAACATTGAAAAATCCCATAGTGGGGTCTGGGAAGGGTAGAGTGTACGCAGATTTTACCCCTACTCCGAAGGAGTAGAGAAGTTGTTTCCGAATGACCCTCGACTCAAGAAGACGAAAATAGACAATAGATCCGTAACAATAACAGAAACCAGAAACATAGTATCAGTATCTTAAGAGACAGAAAATAGATAGAAAAGCAATAACAATAATCACACAGTACTATGAAAAATGAAAAAATAGTGTGAACACAACATAAACTACTAGCAGTCTAAGACAATACACTATCAGACTAGCCCCACCCCCGGTACAAAGTAGAAAATGCTCAACTATCTCCTATCATTCAACCCTAATGCTCGACCTCCACACCTTCCTATCAAGATCCATGTCCTCGGAAATCTGCAGCCGCACCTCGTCCTGCTTGATCACCTCACCCCAATATTTTTACACTGCCCTCTACCTTTTCTCGTCTGCTTGTGCCTGAATCATCTAAGCCTCGCTTCCCGCATCTTATCATCTATGAGAGCCACGCCCACCTTCTCCTGAATATCTTCATTCCTAATCTTATCCAGCCTAGTGTGCCCGCATATCCATCTCAACATCCTCATTTCTGCTACTTTCATCTCCTGGAGATATGTGAATTCTTGACTGGCCAACGCTTAGCCCCATACAACATGGTCGGTCTAACCACCGTTCTATAAAACTTACCTTTAAGTTTCGGTGGCACATTCTTGTTACATAGGACTTCAGATGCTAACCTCCATTTCATCCACCCACCCCTATACGGTGCATGATATCCTCGTCGATCTCCTCACCCCCTGGATTACAGACCCAAGGTGCTTGAAACTTTCTCTCTTGGGGATGACTTGTGAGTCAAGTCTCGCGTCCATGTCCGCTTCCCCCGTCATCTCGCTGAACTTGCACTCCAGATATTCTGTCTTAGTCATACTCAACTTGAAACCTTTAGGCTCAAGGGCCTGTCTCCAAACCTCCAGCCTCTCGTTAATGCGGCTTCGCGTCTCATCAATCAGAATTATACCATTAACGAATAACATACACCATGGCACATTCCCTTGAATATGGTGTGTTAGTGCGTCCATCGCCAAAGCAAATAAGAACGGGCCGAGCGCAGATCCTTGGTGTAACCCCCTAACAACCGAAAAATGCTCTGAGTCGCCTCCCACAGTCCTAACCCGAGTCTTAGTTCCATCATACATGTCCTTTATCACCCTAATGTGAGCTACCGTCACACCTTTTACCTCCAGGCATCTCTAAAGAACCTCCATAGGAATCTTGTCATACGCTTTCTTTAGGTCAATAAATACCATGTGCAAATCTTTCTTCCTACCAACCAATCTAAAATATCCTTGAAATCTAGTTTAAGTGGCAAATGTTGAGGGACTTGTGACTTAGGTCATAGGTTCGAGCACTGCACCATGCAAACTAAGCCTTGTTTTTAAGTGGAGAAGCGTAGAGGGACGGGTCCGTTATTTTCGAGTTTCGAAGGTTGCGGTTGGTCCTAAGGGTTGGCCCTAGATGGATTTCTCGATCGTTAAAAAGAAAAACTTGAAATTGCCCCAGGGCTTTGGTCTAGTGCTTAGAGTGCAGTTTGTGATGTGTGGGGTAGGCTATAGAAAACCAACGCCATTATGCACTGATTTTCAAACCATGCACCACTGACCCTCGGGAATTTCGCAGATATTTTAAAAAAAAATTCCTTGAAATCCTCATCGGCTCGTCCAGATAGGTCTTGTGTCTTTGTTTTAGCATGTTGGAGAACTTGATAATTAGTATTTCTGGTAATACATACTTTTCTAGCAAGGTTATCATTGAGACTAGTAGAATGCTTCAACACCCGCTCCTCCGTGTAGATGCTGTCCACTTTTTTAGGGGGATCGTGTCGGGGGGTGGNTAATAACAGTATTTTATAAAGTGCTTGAGTTGTGTTACTAAAGTTTTGAAGGTGGATATGAACTAGGATAACGGTGTTTGAGTAGTGAGTAAAGTGACTGAAGAAGCTAGAGAGAGCACGAGGATAAAGTAATAAGTAATGCACCAAGGAGTTTGGTGAAAGGGGATAAGAGCAAAAGCACAGGAATGCAGCTGTTTAAATTACCTTGTTGTATGCTTAATTTACTAAATCGTTAGTGTGCATCTTTTGTTCTCGATGGACCAAATTCAACTACTTATTTGTTGCATATCCTGTAGTTGATGCATCGGTGAAGTATTTTCATCCTTAACATACACGATATTATTTGTTTTCTTCAGCGCCAGGCTAGGTAAATAACAGGATGAACCCTGCAACATCATTGTTTAGGAGGTTAAATATCAGAGATCTCGTAACAAGAACACCTACTTACAGTGGCGCGAGTGGTATGTATTTTGTTGTACTCTTTCATGAAGCATCTCCTTCGAATAATATATAAAAATGTTTGAAGACTGAATTTGATAGTACTGTCTGATGAAATTTTTGAAGATACAGACAACTTCTTTCAGTTTTTAAAATCTTGCAGGGAAAAAAATTCATCAAAACAAAAAGTTTTTGCAAAAACTTGAAAAAAGAATTGCAAACTCAGTTTTGTAAAAATTGAAACAAATGCCACCAGTAAGTTTTGAATTTTCTGACATAAGTTTTACTTGTGAAAATTGTAGATGTATCTGGGGAAGGATTAGGCTTGATGTTTAAGCGTTGGGCTACCAAAAAGACAGCAGGATCCACTAAGAATGGCCGTGATTCAAAACCAAAGAATCTAGGGGTAAAGAAATTTGGTGGAGAGGTAAGGATTCTCTTCGTTGATGACATGGAGATGATGGAATTATGCTTTGAAAAGAAACTTTATCAAAATCTTTGCGTACCAAGTATGAGTTCAAGCCAATTTCTTGCACCCTTCAGTATTCTTATTCTGATATAGTTTTTTTGACACAGAGGGTGATACCTGGAAATATTATTGTTCGTCAAAGAGGAACCAGATTCCATCCTGGAAACTATGTTGGAATAGGGAAAGATCACACGCTTTATGCTCTGAAAGAAGGTTGTGTAAAGTTTGAGCGCCACAAGCTGAGTGGACGCAAGTGGGTGCACGTTGAGCCCAAGGATGGCCATGTGCTTCACCCAGTTTACTCGACTGCTGCAGCTCCTGAGCTGAAGACAGCAACTTAATTAGCTTTTCCTTCAACTGTTGATGGATTGAAGGAGCATGGATTTAATAAAGAAATCGATATGCCAGTACTACATTGGACTCTCTATCTTATACATCTTTTCCCCCCTCTCTAGATTAATGATGCTCAAGTTATATTTGCCTTAGTATAGCTTTTGATGTAACTGGTAAAACAAATGGTAGATTTTCCAGTCGAGCATTACATTACTTGCAGAGACTGAATTTTTCTTTGGCCTTTCTATGGGATTGATAAACTGTTTCCTAATCTCCATATCCTTCATATACTATTTGCAGTATACAGATCAAGTGTTGGTTTAAGTATTGTGTTAGTTTGTAGTTAAAGTGTAATGTTTCACTTCATTTCATAATATGAAGCAACCTTTTCATTGCATGTCCATTAGCCCCTAGTATATTTTAGGGTGTGTTTGGTAAGACGGAAAACATATTTTCGGAAAATGTTTTCCCATTTTCCACTTTCAACTGTTTGGTTGCAAAAAATAGTTTGAAAAATGTTTTCCTAGATATCACATTTTCCTGAAATTGGAGAAAAATGACTTCCCTGGAAAAAATTAGGAAAATATTTTCCAAAAATTCCATCTACCCTCACACCTAACAACAACTCCCTCCAACTTCAATTTTCTATTTTTTTTGTTTTTCTGCACCACCAGCCACTCCAACCCCGTCAAACCCTCCCCCAAACCCTTTATAAGGCTATTATAAAAGGGTTTTACTGTACTATAATAAAGAGAGTAGTATTCTTTTATGACCTAATAAAAAGAGAAGTATTTTGTCATGACATAATGCTCAAAGAAGTCGATATAAACACTGATTTTTGAAAAAAAAAGATATAAACATTGAAGTTAGAATCAAATACAGAGAAAAATATTAGTATATGACTTAAATGGGACATAATTATCCCATAACCAATTCAATGAAGTGCTAACACAGTAATTTTTTTTTTTTTTTTTGAGATAAAAAGTACAACACCCATTTAATACCTGCTGTAATAATTTAAGAATAAAATAAATAAATAAATAAATAAATAAATCCTCAAATTGCGCGACCAATTTCAGAAGGGGAAGAAGGGGTTGGTTCATCGAAGCAAAAAGCTTTTCCCCAGAGAGAGAGAGAGAGAGTGAGTGAGCAATTCAACCATTTCCATTTGTCGAACAATCAATATATCTTTCAACCTTCTCACTGTGTGTGTGCGTGTTTTGTTAGCACATTAAATAAGAAAGAAATAATCTTTGTTAGGTTTATACTAGTGTGTCTTTTTACATGTTGCGGCTGTGGAAATGGTACCAAAATTGTTTGGCAGTACATCCGGTGAAGACGCAAGTCATCAGCTCCGGTTTGATTTGGGGTTTTGGGGATGTTGCTGCTCAAGCCGTCACTCACTACACTGCCAAAAAACACCTTCATCTTCGCTCTGTAAGCTTCTCCTTTTTTTTTTTTTTTTTTTTTTTTTNGTACAACACCCATTTAATACCTGCTGTAATAATTTAAGAATAAAATAAATAAATAAATAAATAAATAAATCCTCAAATTGCGCGACCAATTTCAGAAGGGGAAGAAGGGGTTGGTTCATCGAAGCAAAAAGCTTTTCCCCAGAGAGAGAGAGAGAGAGTGAGTGAGCAATTCAACCATTTCCATTTGTCGAACAATCAATATATCTTTCAACCTTCTCACTGTGTGTGTGCGTGTTTTGTTAGCACATTAAATAAGAAAGAAATAATCTTTGTTAGGTTTATACTAGTGTGTCTTTTTACATGTTGCGGCTGTGGAAATGGTACCAAAATTGTTTGGCAGTACATCCGGTGAAGACGCAAGTCATCAGCTCCGGTTTGATTTGGGGTTTTGGGGATGTTGCTGCTCAAGCCGTCACTCACTACACTGCCAAAAAACACCTTCATCTTCGCTCTGTAAGCTTCTTTTTTCTTTTTCCTTTTTTTTTTAAAAAAATCCTACTTTTGCATTTTTTTTATTCAATTGGGCATTTGGTTTTTTTTTGTGTTGTTTCTGTTAGGAATGGGTTTCTGTTTGTTTATGTGGTGGCTCTGCTATGAAATTAGAAAGTGTTGATTCATTTCCACATTGTTTGTGGTTTACATTAATTGTTTTAATTCATTCGGTAGCTGTGAAGAAAAAGAGAGGGATTTACACCCAAGGGTGTGGGCTAGTGGTCAATGAAGTGACAGGAGTAGGATGAGATCTTAAAAGAAAACGCTAGGTAATTGCTTCTTATCTGCCCAAGTCTTAGTGGTCAGAGTTATTCTGTGCCAGTGTTATCAAAGGCGAAAAGCGTAAAAAAGCTCTAGCAAATAAAGCGTGAGCTTTAATGAAAAATACGAAACGGGAAAAAAGTAAAAAATTGTATATGTAGTTTAAGACCAATAATTATAAGCATGAATAACAAATATATGGACAAAAAATTACGATAAAGTGAAATATCAATTGTTTAGTGTCGCCTTTTCAGGATTACATTCATTGGCAAGGAAAAGTATGCCTTAGAACCTTGATACGGCACCGAAGAGCCCGCAAAGCGAGCGAAACGCTCAACATGTTTTGAGCCTCGCTTCAAGGCGTAAGCGCACGTGCTGGTAGGAGGTAGTAGGTACCGGTGGAATTAGTCGAGGTTCGCTCAAGCTGGTGCAAATACCATCGTCATTAAAAAAAAAGGAAAACAAGAAAAGGAGAGAATAAGGGATAGGAAAAGAACCACCCCAGGAGTATTCATCCCATGAGTATGTTTTTAATAATAAGTTGTAGCTAGGTTGGACTGAGGGCTAATGTTTCCTTTGTTTAATACTCAGAAGCTCTTTCTCTTGAAAAATTCATAGAAAAACCCCAAGATACTGGCTCACGAGCCTTTACAGTTACAAGTTGAAGACACCAATTTCTTCATATTGGACTATTATTTGTGATTAATGCAGCCACAAGAGTATGCATATCACAGATAGCACTATGAAATAGCCAAAGTTGTTTTAAATCTCATAATCCATCAGGACAAATGCTTTGACACTCTTATATTAATTGGACTATATTAGTCTGCAGTACATCACCTTGACGGAGTAAGCCTTTTCAATGACTAGACTAGTCACTAGTGAAAGGGGAATCCGCCTTTTCAATGACTAGATTAGTGAAAGGGGAATCCATTTCCCACACCTTAATTTACAATAAAATCCTTTCACTCATAATTTTCTTTGCCACATTACAAAAATAGTGAAAGTGTTTAGCGTACTGCTTGGTCTAAGACTCTAAGCAATATATCCTTAACCATCTCGTTTCTTCCTTTGTGTAAGGCTCCATTGACCAGGTAGTCCAATTAGAAATGACAGATTCATGGTTTCTGACCTTGGGTGACTGATGGATTTTGGGGAAACAAATCCTTATAGTACTTAGACATATGAAATCTCCTCAGTTGTCATCTCAATATCCATTTACACCACTTCACTTTAACTCAACCTTAATCAAAATCTTCTCATAATGCTACTTGCAGTTGTATGGATTTGTTCCTCTGAGTATTTTTCCATTCATGCTAGGAGGTGAGACCACAACAAAATTGCTACTTATACCATGGATGAGCATTGAGCTCATTATTGTTGTTTTTGATAAATAATTAGTTAATCATCCTTTCCTATTTGTCATTGTAGAAAGATCTTAGCTGGAAATCCATTTTAAAGTCTTACTTCACCTTTTCTTAAGAATGCAACCAACTCAACTTAAAAAATTGACTATCAACTCTCATCTCCTTGCTTCTGGAACCATGATGAGCTGCACAGATAGTCTTACTTTAGTAGAAGGAAGCCTGGGAGTATAGATTCTCATATCGTGGAGTTCCTCAATTATAATTGGTTTGGCGATATTGCAAAGAATGTGGGTACTATTCCATTATTTGTGTCCTACCAAAGAGTTCCTTCTGATAAGCTATATAAAGCCCCACACTGGTTTTATAAGGTCATTCAAAGATGTCTATAAAGGTCTTGAGTCACTCATCTGTTGCCTCAAGTTTTTAGAATGCTCAGATTCTTTCATATGACATTTAGAGTCAACCTTTTACAAGCTCATTCTCGCACTTGCAAGTATGTTTTGAAGTTCACTGTGTGTACTCCAGAATTGAGTAACATGTGCAAGATGGTCTTGAATTATATAATGTCTCATATCGGGTATAGAGTGTGTCCAATAGGTATATAGTAATTAGACCAGCTTGAGACAACAAGGGGTGGGTACTACTTTGGTGAGGCATTTTTCTTTTTACTTTAGGTGTTCACCTTTGGCTTACGGCATGCCTTTCAACTCCTTCACAGATAGGCACTTGCCCGCTAGATTCAATTTATTTTCTCTTTTTGCCCTTCATATTGCTTGTTAGGGGGGAACTGTCTTTTAAGGCTATTGTGCTTGTCTCATTCTAAGAATAGAAAAGAGAGATCGATTTATCGCCCTAATTTGCAGCACAGACCTTCAAGGTTGCCGCCCTAATGTGCAAGAGACAACCTTCAAAGCTTCAGCCTTAATTTGCAGCAGTATCCTTCAATGTTGCTCTTTTCTTCCTCTCTCGCACAAACTGCTGTATCAGTGAGTGTTCCCTCCATCCTCCCTTTTTCGCCTCTATATTTTTTCTTTGTTCCTTTTCCTAAAACATTTTAAATCATTTCTAGTCAAAAACAAAAAAAAATGCTTCTGAGAAAGTTCGGAAGGAAATATTGGCAACGCATTAATATTTCCTTTCTTCTGCATTCCTTCTTTTATTGAATGGGAATGTTTATTGAACCATGGGTAGGAATTTCAGAAGCTTAATTAGTCAAAGGTATTAATGCCAACTTCACTATTGTTTAACTCGTAAATAAAACAAAAAGGCTTGGTGGTATCCATATGCATTGTTTCTGGCCCTCCGATTCTGTTTACTCTACACTCAGGGGACGGATGATGAACTCCTTGTGCTTATGAGGGCACTTCTTGATAGTTTTGCCAGTATTTTTAAGTGTGGAAAATGTTGAAAGCCGCATTGGTCTATTTGGGTTTCTAAGTGCAAAGCCTGATAAAGCACTTGCTGTAGTGAAGAACAACCAGTTGGAAAAAAATTTGATACAACGTTACAAAATATAATTTTAAAAACAAACTACGTTAGATGGATTGGAATAACTACAATAAAGTAAATTATGTATAAGATGAAACCTATATCAACTAAATTTAAAACCACCTCAAATTTAGATTGAGGTGCAACAATACAATTTTTTAAGCTTTTGATTGAGAGTGTATGATTACTTTTCTTGTCCCTTCCGGGATATCCAACTTAATGACTAGTTTTCTTATACTAAATTTCTCATTTCCTGTTCTTAATTAGTAACTGTTAGAATAGTTATGTGAATGTATGTAATTAGTCCTAGTCCCTTATGTAGTAGGAGTAGGTTATGTGTTATGTATACATATAAATAGGGCTTATTGTAACATAGAATATTAATCAATAATATTTTCTCCCGTGCTTTCTCACATGGTATTAGAGCAATAGTGAGAAATTTATCGCTATGCATCATTCCAGCGACTTCCGGGAAGAAAGACCTCGTCGCCGTGCAATTTTCCGACGACTCAGCAACAAAATCATTTTTCCTTAGTGTTGTGCAAAATCCAACACCACCACAAGGTGCCCAAGACAAAGGCGACCAAAACCCAGAAAAAATCTCCGGAAAAAGCCATCTCACGTGCCCTCACGCGCCAGTCAGAGACAGACGCGCCGGCGCGTGTGCCTGTTTCTAGCCATTTTCTGGCCGACCTTCTTCAGGACAGACGCGCCGGCGCGTGTGCCTGTTTCCAGCCATTTTTTGGCCGACCTTCTTCAGGACAACCTAATCGCGAGGCTTTTCAGAGCCTACCCATCAAGGTTACATCAGATTCCGACGACTTTTTTATTTTCCGGCGAGCTACAGTGTTTCCGGTGAACAGTAACTGTGAAACAGTGGTTTCTAGACAATTTTCTGTTTTTTTTCGGCATGAACATTATAATGTCATTCTTATTAGAAGCCTTAGACTCACAATTAGTTGGATCCAATGCATTGAATCCAATCCAGATGGTCTGTTTACCGGATTATATTGAGTTCCTTCAGTACAAAGCACGTAAACAGACATCTTCAGGATTAGCCTCCGTTGTTCCAACAAATAGTAGCATGACTTGTGTCTCCCAATCTTCACCTTCTGAGTCTTGGGTCATTGATTAAGGTGCATCTGATCATATTTCTGGTAACAAATCTCTTTTCACTAGTATTTCATATTCTCAATCTCTTCCAACAGTCACAATGGCCAATGGGTCTCAAACTATGGCAACTGCAATATGTCAAACAAGCCCACTTCTTTCCTTACCTTTAGACTCAGTTCTTTATGTTCCCGATAGTCCTTTTAATCTCATAGCCGTTAGTCGCTTAGCCAAATCACTTAAATCTGCTGTTTTATTTCTTGATGACCTTGTTTTTATACAGAAACGCAGTACAAGGCGGATCATTGGTACCGGACGTGAATCAGATGAACTTTATTACCTTATCCTTGCAAAATCACATGGACTCGTATCTTGTCTTCCTTCAATAACTTGTCCCGTTACTGATTCACCAGATTTATTACATAAACGGTTGGGACATCCCAGTTTGTCAAAACTTCAGAAAATGGTACCTAACTTATCTCACTTGTCCACTCTAGAGTTTGAGTCATGTCAGCTCGGTAAGCATACCCGCTCCCATTTCTCGCAGCGTCTTGATAATTGAGCAGAATCACCTTTTACTTTAGTCCATTCAGATGTTTGGGGTCCTAGTCGAGTCAGTTCTACCTTGGGATTCCGCTACTTTGTCAGTTTCATTAATGATTATTCCAGGTGCACTTGGATATTTTTGATGAAAAATCGATCTGATTTGTTTTATATTTTCCAGACCTTCCATGCTGAAATTCAAAATCAATTTGGGGTTTCTATCCGCACATTTCGTAGTGATAACGCCCTAGAATATTTGTCTTCCCCATTTCAGCAGTTTATGAACTCCCATGGGATTATTCATCAAATATCTTGCCCGTACACATCCCAACAAAATGGGGTTGCTGAAAGAAAGAATAGATATCTTATTGAAACTGCTCGTACCCTACTCATACAATCTCATGTTCCGCTTCGTTTTTGGGGGGATGCAGTTCTTACATCTTGCTATCTTATTAATCGTATGCCATCTTCAACTATCCAGAATCAAGTTTCATTTTCTGTCATGTTTCCCCATTTACCTTTGTTCTTTCTTCCACCCCGTGTCTTTGGGAGTACGTGTTTTGTTCATGACCTTACTCCAGGAAAAGATAAGTTAGCTCCTCGTGCTCTTAAATGCATATTTTTGGGTTACTCGAGAACGCAAAAAGGATATTGATGTTATTCTCCTGACCTCCAGCGGTTTCTTATGTTTGCTGATATTACCTTCTTTGAAACCCAACCATACTTCACAGGTCCAGTTAATCACTTAGATATTTCTGAGGTGCTACCAGTTCCGTCTTTTGGAGATTCAGTCACTATTCCCCATTCATCTTACTCTACAGTTCCACCACACGTAGCTCCAGTACCACCACCGAGTCCAGTGCCACCACATAGTCTAGTTCCACCAACTATAGATCCAGTGCCACCACCGAGTCCAGTGCCACCACATAGTCTAGTTCCACCAACTATAGATCCAGTGCCACCACCGAGTCCAGTGCCACCAACTATAGCTCCAGTGCCACCAACTATAGCTCCAGTGCCACCACCTAGTCCAGTTCAACCTTCTACAGCTCCACCCCTCCTAACTTATCATCGTCGTCCGCATCCAGCATCAGGCCCAGCTGATTCACGTCCTACACCTGACCCTGCTAATATTGCGGACTTGTATCCTCTTGATCAACCGGTTGCACTACGAAAAGGTATACGGTCCACACTTAATCCTAATCCTTATTATGTCGGTTTAAGTTACCATCGTCTGTCATCATCCCATTGTGCATTTGTGTCATCTTTGTCCTCTGTTTCCATCCCTACGTCTACAAGTGAAGCACTGTCTCATCCTGGGTGGCGACAGGCTGTGATTGACGAGATGTCTATTTTACATACGAGTGGTACTTGGGAGCTTGTTCCTTTTCCTTCGGGTAAATCGACTATTGGTTGTCGTTGGGTGTATCTAGTTAAAGATGGTCTAGATGGCCAGGTTGATCGACTTAAGGCTCGTCTTGTTGCCAAAGGGTATACTCAGGTATTTGGACTCGATTACAGTGATACTTTCTCTCCCGTGGCTAAAATAGCATCAGTCTGCCTTTTTCTATCCATAGTTGTTGTTCGCCATTGGCCTCTCTATTAGTTGGACATTAAGAATGCTTTTCTTCACGGTGATCTTGAGGATAGGTTTACATGGAGCAACCACCTGGTTTTATTGCTCAGGGGGAGTCTATTGGCCTTGTATGTCGGTTGCGCCGGTCCCTCTATGGTCTAAAGCAGTCTCCTCGAGCCTGGTTTGGTAAGTCCAGCACAGTTATTCAGGAGTTTGGCATGACTCGTAGTGAAGCTGATCACTCTGTATTTTATCGACATTCTGCTTCAAATCTTTGTAATTATCTGGTCGTTTATGTTGACGATATTGTTATTACCGGCAATGATAAGAATGGTATTAGTAAGTTAAAGCAACATCTCTTTCAGCACTTTCAGACTAACGATCTGGCTCACAACGGAAGTGTGCCTTAGATATTCTTGAGGAGACAGGAATGACAGGTTGTAGACCTGTTGACACTCCGATAGATCCAAATTCTAAACTTCTGCCAGGACATGGGGAGACTCTTAGCGATCCTGCAAGATATAGGCGGTTGGTTGGTAAATTAAATTACCTCACAGTGACTAAACCTGACATTTCCTTTCCTGTGAGTGTTGTGAGTCGGTTTATGGATTCTCCCTATGATAGTCATTGGGATGCAGTTGTCCGGATTATTCGGTATATAAAATCAGCTCTAGGCAAAGGCTTATTGCTTGAGGATCGAGGCCATGAGCAGATCGTCGGATACTCGGATGTTGATTGGGCAGGATCACCTTTTGATAGACGTTCTACTTCTGGATATTGTGTCTTAGTGGGAGGAAATTTGGTGTCTTGGAAGAGCAAGAAACAGAATGTGGTTGCTCGGTCTAGTGCAGAAGCAGAATATCGAGCAATGGCTATGGCGACATGTGAACTAATTTGGATCAAACAGTTGCTCAAGGAGTTGAAATTTGGTGAGATTAGTCAGATGGGACTTGTGTGTGATAATCAAGCTGCTCTTCATATTGCATCAAATCCAGTGTTCCATGAGAGAACTAAACACATTGAGATTGACTGTCACTTTGTTAGAGAAAAGATACTCTCGGGAGATATTGCTACAAAGTTTGTGAAGTCGAATGATCAGCTTGCAGATATTTTCACCAAGTCCCTCACTGGTCCTCGTATTAACTACATATGTAACAAGCTCGGTACATATGATTTATATGCACCAGCTTGAATGGGAGTATTAGAATAGTTATGTGAATGTATGTAATTAGTCCTAGTCCCTTATGTAATAAGAGTAGGTTATGTGTTATGTATACATATAAATAGGGCTTATTATAACATAGAATATTAATCAATAATATTTTCTCCCGTGCTTTCTCACAACCTTATTATTTTTGTAACAATCTAGCAATTTGCCGCTATATTTATTGATTGGTGTTGCCTTTTCAAAACACGGCGTACGAGCCTCATAACTTAATCTAATTAAGCAGTTAGTGGTATGGTTTTTATTGAGACATGCGCCTTATCTTTGGTGCCTGCACTGAAGCTCTGTCTTAGCAAGACGAAGCGGCTGGTAAAAATAGCATCTCGCGCTTCATTGCTCAATTCCGCATTTAACAACTCTGAGTTTTGCTGAGGAGTGCAATGCTGATTCAAAACTAGCTCATTAAATGTTAATTAAGTGGGTGAGTGGTTTTGCTTCCATTAACAGAAAAGGAACAAATGAAGGAATAAATGTTTTTTTCTGATGTTACTGTTACAAATAACAATTTCTCTTGATTACCTGTCAAAGCGGGAAGGTTTGCCTTCAATTTTCTTTGTTTTTTGGCTACAACCTTAGTTTGTTCTTGTGATTGCTGAAATCAAGACAGATCCGGTGCCTTTCTATTTTAGTCCTTCCACTCATACTGAAGTTGTTTGCAAGAATCGCCTTTTTAAGAATATAGGCAGTCTGATTTTCATGTAATAGCTGTTTTCTTGCATGGCATTGAGCTGTTTGTCTGCCGCTGATGTTATTTATTGGGAAATGTTATTCCTTTATACTGCAGGATAAAGATAAAGAATTTTCAATCAACTGGAGACGAGTTGCCACAACAAGCTTGTTTGGGTTTGCGTTTGTCGGACCCGTTGGCCACTTCTGGTAGACTTTTTTTTGCTTATTTGGAATGTGTGTTAGCTTCTGATTAGGTCACTGATCTCCACGCTTCACCGAGTGACCTTGTTTTTATTATTGTTTTTGTTTTTGATGAGTAGTATTCTGTGATTACTATTACTTAATGAGGTACATTTCTTTTTGAGGGGGGCTGACGGAGTCTGGCATACTGGCATTGTTATGTCACAGTTATCAATTAATAAATATACCTCTTTCCTTTGTCAGATAATAGTAAAAATGTAGTGTCAAATTTACTGGACCTTTCACAACTTTCTTCCGAAGTTTCTTAAAATTGGGCGCTGATGTCAATTTATATCAATCTAGCATCTTTATAGTGAAAACTTCAGTCACTTTTTAGTAATTGTGAGGTAAATTTCATGCTTGCTGCTATATACTTTGTTCAAGAATTTTTGCTACTCTTGCTAAATCTGCAGAGTTTGCCTTTCATATGTAGTTAATGATGCCCTAAGTTGCTTGGACTCTTCACTTTCAGTGTTGCACCCTTGTCGACACGACGTGGGGTGGGTGTGGGATCCGTAACGGATCTGGTCAACTGAATTTGGGTACTTTGACCAAAATCGACGGAGAAACTCGGAACAGATATGATGATTTCTGAATTCAAAACAAAAGCTAGGGTGAAATTGAAGAAAGTGGATTACCTTGTATAGAAACTTTTATGTCAATCTCTTCTTGATCATTATTTTTTCCTTGTCGGAATACCTTATTAGTTTTTCACATAATGTCTCATAATTTAGCATATTTTTATAACTCTATTTTCAGATATTTAAATTATTTTTAGCCGAATACCCGCGCACCCATATCCGTTCTGGATCCATACCCCCGAATCTTAAAATTTAGATCATGGAGGATCCAACCTCTAGATTCACATCTGTATCGGACATCGGCGCCCGAGTCCGAGCAACTTAGATGATGCCAATAGATAAATACTGAAGTTTTAGTTTAACATCAATGTCCTTTCGTATTGTTCCTCTCAATCTATTCAGTCCTTACGTTCTAGCTTTATATCTGGGTGCTCATAGTTAAATATCAAGTACTCAGTATCTGTTTATTTTATATGTGCCAGTGACGATGCCTCTATTGGAATCTCTCGTCTTGTGATCTCTTCTACACTTTACTAAGTGAGGTTTTTAGGGAAAAACATAATCCAAACCAGGGTCAGAACACATACTGAGACTAAATCTTTTCCTGATATTGGATTCTCCTGCAAAATTAAATTTCACTAGTTTGTTTAGTAAAATGTACTGGTGTAAGTACTTGAATTTCTGGTGACAAATGCTTTGCCTAGCATAAACAAACTAAATAAAGAGAAGATGCTAGATTTATGTGGCTAGACATGTGTCGTTTGTACTCAGGAATAATTTTTTGATGTGCTTGAGCATCTTTTGTTAGCAATAAATTACTGTTATGTTTTAACAACTGAAGGTAACAAGTCTTGAGTAGTAATTGAATAGCCTGCAGATAAATTTTACTTCCGAAATATTCGGGGTGAATGGATCTCACTATTCTATCTGTTTAGGTACGAAGGATTGGATCGCTTCATAAGGTTGCAACTTCAAATGCAACCCAAATCCATGCGTTTTGTTGCTACAAAAGTGGCACTTGATGGTGTAATCTTTGGGCCCCTAGATTTACTTGTCTTTTTCACGTATATGGGCTACTCCACTGGGAAAAATACTGCTCAAGTTGTTGAAGGTGTGAAGAGAGACTTTCTACCGGCCTTAATACTAGAGGGTGGCATATGGCCTGCTGTGCAGGTAGCCAACTTCCGCTATATACCAGTTCGGTATCAGCTTCTTTATGTCAATTTCTTCTGCTTGCTCGATAGCTGCTTCCTTTCATGGATTGAGCAGCAGGAAGATGCTGCATGGAAGCAATGGTTGAAAAACATTGTGCGGTTAAAGGAACAAAAAGAGAAAGGTGGATAACTCCTCTTTTTCACTCAGGAAATGTATTAGTTTTGAAAATCTCTTTCCTCTTTCGTAATCAGCCATAGTTATATAAGGCATAGAGACATGTTGAAGACCGGCAAAGTATTTACAGGAATCTTGGAGAGTGCCAACTGGGAAATTGGTAGTTGGATTCAGTAAAAGTGATAGCACTTTGTTTAGCTACACTATTTACAGATTGAAGCTTAAGATAGCTATTATCGACAGATCTTCATCCACTATTTGAATAAGCTTGTGGGACTTTTGATACTGTCAAAGTTTAGATGCTATTTTTTTTGGTCCTGTATTATGAGCTACGACAAAGCTATACATTTCGATTGATGTTGTTTTGCTTAATTTCCCACCTCCCCTTTGCTCCTGCTTCATATTTGATGTTAGGAGTTCATTTTGAGCAGATAATTGAATTGTGAGAAAATACTTCCTTTTGATTAAGAAATTGAATTTGAATGCTCTCAAGCACTGAAATCTGTTGTCTTTTGTCTTTGTTAATGTTACAATTTTGTTTTCCAAGGAACTGATGGGGATGGCTGAGAGCAAACCATGACATTTCTTGATTTCAAACTCTTATGCTGAATTATCCTTTGGTTTTTGTATGGCAAAGAAAGGGCCTCATAGTTCAGTGAAGAATTTGTTGTAATCCTTTTTTTCCAAAGAGGGGTTGCTCTGATGGTAAGCAACCCCACTTCCAATCGAGAGGTTGTGAGTTCGAGTCTCCACTAAGTGAGATTATACTGGGTTGTTGTTGTTGTGTTTCACATTTCTATTCAAGGATGTCTCCACACACTCTTTAACATATTTAAATCGACTTTCGTCAAAAGAATGTTCTGCACTCTTTGTTCTTCACATTATTATTTTTTTTAAAAAAGGGTCAGGTGTTTGAATTGAGACAAAATACTATTTNTTATAAATGTCTATTCTCACAGCTTATTAGACTGTCCTACTCAGAGGTTGTCCCCTAGGGCTGGGCATAATTTGGTAAATACCGAATTACCGTATCGAAATCGAAAATTTTGGTATTCGGTATTTTGGTATTTGGTATGGTATTTGGTTTAATTTTTAAAAAAAAAATTGGTATTAGGTATGGTATTTTAAGATAAAATACCAAAATACCGATACCGTACCGAAATATATATTATATTACACAAAACACATATTATCAATTATAACATAAATATAAAAAAATCTAAAATTTTACTTTTCTTTATTCTCAAAGTTCATCAATTAACTCTAAACAAGTAACAAGACATTTCTAATGATCAAATATTTTTTTTATGTACAGTTTTCTCTATTTGGGTCAATATTTGCTAGTTTTGGACAAATTTTTTGTCAACACACATTTTTAGTTTTGTATTTTTGAGTACTTTAATTAAGAATATTAGAGTGTATGGCTCTATATACTAGTTAGTAGTCAAACCGAATAAACTGAAATTACCAAACCGAATAAATCGAAAAGGAGAAAAACCAAACCATATCGAATTTAATTAGGAACGGTATTGGTATAGGATTTTAAGAAACCGAATACCGAAAATACCGAACCGAAATGTCTAAATACCGTACCGTACCGACCGACGAACATCCCTAATTGTCCTCAAGTTCTTATTTGCCTCCTTAAAAGTTGACATATATTGCTTCTTATGACATGTACCTAGAGCAAAATATTCATAAGTTTATTTAAGAATGCTTTAATTAAAAATGTGGGATTATTACTGGGTTGATGTTGTTTTAATTAAAAGAATGTTGGGACCATAGCAGGAAAATTAGTTATATTACTACTATATGATTGTAACAGTTGTAGATTTGAATACGTGCTCAGATTATAACAGTGTTGAATGAACAACTGATTGTAAACCAGACTTGTTAACATTAAAGGTGATTATATATAATGTTTGAGCCGAGGGTCTCCTGGAAATAGCTTCTCTACCCTTCGGGGTAGGGGTAAGGTCTGCGCACATATTACCCTCCCCAGACCCCACTTATGGGATTATATTGGGTCGTTGTTGTTATTGTTGCTGTATATATAATGTTAGATTCTGAAGAAAAAACGGTTCTATTGGTGACCCATTCAAAAGAAACTAGGCGCTTTGAATTTGATTAGCCAACCATTTCTTGCTTTTTCCACAAATGAGTGAGGGTCTTTAATGGTCTAATCTCTATTTATTGCGATTGCAGTATGGAAAATAGGCCTGCCAAGCCGATAGGCGATGGGATGAAGGATGGAACGTGCAAAGTAGATTGTGCACCTGTCGTGTATCCTAGGCAATGTCTTGCGTGAAGCGGCCTTACAAAAAGATCAGTTACGATGGTATTGCACGCGCTTCTCGGGGCCCTTTGCGTCAGAGTGACCTCGCCGGAGCGATTCACTCACCTGGAGTTCAAGTTAAGTCTAACTGCATATTTACAATAGACGCGTGGTGATCAATTGGACCTTTGATTAATTATATATATTTGAAAAACCTGCTGCAAGTTGTTGATTTGATCTGATAACTGAATAATGATGAATATGAGTTTAATATGGTAAGAACCCAACTGGTGCAGCAAATTATTTGCCTAATTTTTGCTTCCAATAAGGAGAGAATCTCGCTGGAAAATTACTGAGTTTTAATCATGGTTTAAGGGATTGGTTAGTTTAATTAAACCTGGACTTTTAGATCTGAATTTGAACAGGTGTAATAAAATGAAAGGTGCACTGGTCAAAACTGGAGGGATGCTATAATAGAGGGGAGCCCCGTTTCCATTTTACTTCAGTAGTTGAATTTGTTAAAGAATGAAAATAATCAGTTGATTTAGATATCATGGTTACTCCAAATATTATATACAAAATTGGATTTGATAGTAAAATCATAAGCTGATTTGAGTTGTCCATAAGTAGGGAGTGCAAAACCCAATATTCGATAAGCAAACGGGAGAAATTCAAAAATAGCTAGATTTACAACTGGTCGTTCAAAAATAGCTAGTTTCAAAAGTAATCGAAATTTAGCCACTTTTCATGTAAAGATAAATCTGAGCGAAAACATTGTGCAAAACGCGGAAAATACGCAAGTATATTATACTTGAGTTTCAGGATAAGTATGCTGGAACTCCAGCATAATATGATGGAGTTCCAGCATAAGTACACTAGAACTCCAGCATAATATACTGGAGTTCCAGCAAGTATAATTGTCCAGTATAATATACTGGAGTTTGGAGCACCGGTGCTCCAGTATATTATACTGGAGTCAACAAAATATACCGGTCCAGCATAATATGTTGGAGTTCATACACAGGTGCACCGAACTCCAGTATATTATGCTGGACCGGTCTCTGTTGCAGCAAAATAATGGCTATTTTTCATTGACTTCGTAAACGTTGGCTATTTTTGAATGACCAGTCCGAAAACTGGCTACACTGTACTATTTTTACTAAGCAAACATAAAAATTATCGTAACTTCACTTTTGTATAATTATATTAAAAATTAACCCAAATAGCCGCTCACATAATCACTTAAACTAAAAATAACTGCCGGATATATAATATATGTATTATTCACGTATCATGTGTTGATAACAGTGTATTATTAGCATATAATCTATGCATACCGGCTAAAATAAGTAAACAGTGAATTTGATCAGTTACATTTTAAAATTTCATATTTCTAAACTGAAATATTTCTTTCCTTTTGAAATCACTACATAAGATTTTAGACTTATCCCCACAACTATAGCCATACCACAAAGCTATTGAATTTATCTCTTTAACAATGTCTAGAGGTTTGGTCATAACTTCAACTCAGTGTATGTAAAAGATGAGGGTATAAACACAAAATAACTATCTCAATATATAAAACAAAAGAGAATCAGTATTACAACTATATCTCGAATAGAAATAGCTCCGTACTAACAAATGTGTGTTAATACTCAAAACAAATATCCCAATACTAAGGAAAATATTCAGATTGAAATAGAGTTCAGAGACTTAAGAGGCTACAGCAGCACCCTTCTTCCTTGGAGTTGCCTCGGTACCTGAAGGACGCATAGGAAAAAAGGAAAGAGATCAATAACACAAGATACACTCAAGTATGTAAGCACCATAAGTTTCTAGTAAAGATAATGCAGTACCGAAATGAATTACCTTCTCTGAAGTTAGTCTTGAACCTGCGGGGCACATTGCGGAGATACCTCATGCGACCAGTTCCAGTGGTCTTTCTTCTAAGTGCCTTGACGCTCCAGTTATCTGCACAGACAGTAGAAATCAGTAAACACTAAATCAAGAGACATCATACAGCTGAAGACCTAAAACTTATGGCCGCAATAGCTACAAAGGATAACAGGAACATTAAGTAATTTGCATGTAGGTCAAAATACTAAAAGATTAAGCATGGGAAATCTTCAATATATCAGTAATTCACCAGCAACCAGCACCTAGCCAAGCCCCTGACTACACATGCCATACATAGCAATAGTTAGATACCTTTCCCTACTATGCTATGACTAACAACCTGTTACTTACTTTCAATTGCTTAGGTATAAGTAGGAGACAATCAATCCAGATATTTGTCGGGTTTTGGCTAGACCATTTGAGGTTGTGTTAGGAAATTCACTCATTTACAAAGAGGTCGGCAAGACAGTTTCAGAATGTCATAGCCATTTCATGGAGTTGCCTCCGTCTAAGCCAAGCCATTAACCAAAGTGCATCATTAAGAGATCCGGTCTAGCTCAAGGAAGCCCACTCCTTTTATCTTAGCTTTACCACTAACAGCTCCAATAATTTCATACAATAAAGACCAACTAACATTTCCCTGCTACAATTTAACTAGTTCAGATAATTACTTCTCTATCTTACATTCTTTTGACAAGATTCTGTTTTCCTATATAGAAAGCAACTGAACTTTGCAAACTTCACCTTGGATCAAGCCAACAATACGATTTGTACAAACTATTAACAAATAATGCATCAATTTAAGTCCGTTAATAAAATAGCTCCATTATCCAAATATCCACAACAATATCTCAGTAATCCAAATATACATAAGAATAACTCCTTTTTCCAAATATAAATTAAATCAGCCACTTAATTAAAATAATCCATAAAAATGGCTCCTTAATCCAAATTTCCAAAAAAATAGCTCCGTAACCTAACTCTCCATTAAGACAAGTCAAACATACTCGTAATTATTCTAACAATAATTCAATCAGTATACAAATGAGCGCTACCACTAAAGTTCTTACAGTTTATTAAGAGAAATACATCAATTCAATTCGACAGAAATAGCTCCATATGTACATAACAATATCTCCATAATCCAAATAACCATAACCATAGCTCCTTAGTCTAACTACAAATTAAATCAGCTCCTAAACCCAAAAGACCCACAAGACTACCTCCTTAACTCCATAGATATAGCTCCTTAATTGAAATATTCATAATAATTCTGAACTAGTAAACAAATGAGCGCTGCTTTTTTTTTTTTTTTTGAGATGGTAACATA